GCCACACACTGTAACAAAGATGAGATTTTACAAGATAAGGAGAGTAGAATATATAGAAGACCTATTCTACATTACAAGACCATAGGCCTCTTATACATGAAACTCATAAAACAAATTTGAACCGATATAATATAAGACAATTTGGCACCAATTGTGCATTTATTCAGTTCCTGTGATCTTCTTCTTTAAAGCTTCAACGTCCGTGGCCAGTTCTTTTCTACTTGACTGAAAGAAAAAAAATAGTTAGTCGGCAACATCTGAATTTCTAGGCAAACCAAAAGGAGAAATAGTCAGCAAGTATCCCAATACAGGCACTACCATATCAGCGTGTCATTTCCGACAACTACATCAGCATGTTAAGTTGAATGCGTATGACTGGAACAAATCTTTTGGGAATTCAGAAAAAAAACTAGTGCAATAAGCAATCCTGCACTATCCCAGAATTTCAACCATTTGTTCTACAAAATATTATGCACAACGTATATCCTACATCTAGCAAGGATAAGGCTTTCAAGTTGAGTGAAATGCTATTGAAAATTGATCTTAGCAATATCCATAAGTTTTGCACCTGGACAGACACCAATGTTGATTCAGAAAAACTCTAGAAAACCTTACATTGAGAGACACTAAACTCATTGGAGATGTTAACATTGCTACAACACATAAATAGACATACATAAATGCACACGCAAGCGTGCGCACAATTTTACTAGGGTTGAGAAAGAGATGGCAAGGGTGGGTGGGGGGTTACCAATGCCCAATTTGACAATGCAAAAAAGTAATAACAAAGGGAATACATCATGAGTGAATAGATCTATTATGTAGAAGCACTGGCTCGTCACAAGCTATGTGTGGATGTCAGTTCATACTTTATCAATGGCTCACTTCAAAACTACACAAGAAATATCTTTATACCAAATATACGCTTTATACCAATTCACTGTGGGATACGTGTGCAAAGTTTCTCAAGGTATCCATCTTCAATAAGCCATGGCCATGAAATTATACAAAAAGAAATCTGTCTGCATAAGAGAAGAATTCCAATTACAAATGTAAACTGAATGTCTTCAAATATTACCTTGAAGAGAAGGTATCGGTAGACAAACCATCCAGTATATCCAAGCCCTACCAACTCCAGGATCTTTGGAAGCTGGTAATGAAATTTGTTGAGGGAGGTCATAGTGGTTCATTAAACACCAAAACAAAATTGATTAAAAAAATTTTACATTGACAGAAAATTTAGCATGCCAGGGAATCAAAAACACTAAATAAGTGCCCATAACTAGCTTGAATCCAGTTGAAGACATAAGCAAGTACTTTTAATATTAAACACCTACCAAAGGGACTGAGTTCACTGCACCAATAACAATGGAAGATAGCCAAACTGCAACAATCGCTCCACCTCCATAGAGAAGTACTGTAGACTTGTTTTCAACTGCATCCCACTAGTAAATATGACAACAGAAAGGAAAAAGAAGTCTAAAATCAACTACCATGTTAACGGAATTTGAAGTTTTAATTAGTAGGCAATGCAGTAATGGTTGAAACTAGATAATTTCAGAAAGAAAAATCAGAAAAAAGTTGCAATTGATGAACTGTCACCACCCCCAGGGTATGACACTCAGTTTACCTTCTCCTTTATATCGTTGAACAACTCATCAGTATCAATAGGAGTGGATGTCTCTTCTGACGAAGTGGCTTTCACCTGGAGCAAAGAAGACCTCTGGGACTCTGTTAAATGAAATAGAGTATAAGCATAAAGCTACAGGTAATTATACAAGTTTCACGTTAGCATCAATTAGACCATTGCTTGGTTGAAAAACTATGGAAGTTGAACCTGAAGCAAGTTCTAGTTTCAGTAGAGCAAGGATTCATCTTAGGGATTAGGGACCCTGTAATGGTCCATAACATATAAAACCTCTTTCCTACATTACCCCTATTCCTCACTGATAGGTTTATGTTGAACTTCTCCAAAATACCTTCTCACTCAGTAAATAGCACAGAGAGATTGGAAGTCAAAGCAAATTCCACATAAAAGAGTAAATTTGTCTCGCCTCTATATAAAATAATACATTCCTTAAGTCCTTTGCACGAAATCTACACTAACATATTCACACTGAGAGACTGTACTCCAACAGATTTACAAATGGAGAAACATGCCATTTGGTTTTCATCTTCAAGAAAATCATTCATAAGAGGTAGCTCATGCAGTCGAGCAGCTATGATACTTCTAACCCCTTGTGTGGAAACTTTAAGAACTCATCTCAGAAAAAGCCTGCCATAAATTTTCCAATTTAATAATGATTTCTTTCTCTTCTTCCAAATATCCAGGTTTCAATTTACTAATTAATTATAGTTTTGTATCCCAAGAATAACAAGAGAAATGCATCTTGCCCCTGCTGCTTCTCTTTTTTTTTTGTGTTCTTGTTATATTTTGGGTTTGGATCAATTACAGGCTTCACAATGAGTGTTAGCCTTTCAATGTTCAAGAGAGACTGAAAAAATCCAAGAACTCCACATGGAAAAACCTCATGGGAAGAAGAAAATAGGCACACACAGAAAGAGATAATACTTTATGTATCAAAAACAATTTCGGGATTCAAAGAACATGCTGCATTCCACTCTATACAGAAGGTGTTTTGATGCATATATTCACCCAATGACCCCCATGCAAATCTAGTAAGAAACCCAAAGCTATCTATCGATTTGGGTGGGAGGACCTTCAGCTCTATATTCTAGCGAGCTAGTTGTTGACTCTCCTAAGTGATAGTGCCGCCATGCAGTGAACTCTATAAAATAAAACTAGGCAGGCTTCAATAAGTCTATTCAACGGTCTCAAATAAACTCATTCACTACCATCATCTCTCTCAAAACCATACATATTATACCGTGCCTTTCAAGCACGGGTTACCCCTAATTGTTTGACAAATGACGATCACATGAATATATTTACAAATTGCCATTATTGCAAGCAAGCAAAAAGGACAACATTACCTTTGCTTTCACTTGTCACATAATCTAAATAAACGAATGTCCTACTCAGAGTTCTAATTCCTGCGTTTCTTGTTATATCCAATACTAACTTCAAGGTCATATGATCCTATCAAAAGAATTAAGATAGAAATATATGGACTTTACGCTCTTATGGTCGGGTATTTTGCAACCAAGGACAAAAATTATATTAAATTCACTTCATTTTCTTCCTAGTGTAGCTTGCCAGTGCCTCAATTTCAGCCAATTGATTGCATTCATCTCATCCATTCACAATGCTGTTAGTCAGTTCACAACTCATCATAAATAAGTATAAATAGGGACTGAAAATAAATAATGAAAAAAAGGAAAACCATGGCTAGATATATATACACAAGCATATAAGCGTGCTTCTGTATCTTAAATCAACAGATTATTGTTCGAATTAAGTAAAACCCAAGTCAAATTTGCGATAAATAAACTGAAGTACATGACAACGGAGAAGAATAAACTTGATATTCCTCAAAATAAACAAATTTAGGTCGTCAACCACAAATATGCTCGACGAAATGCCCCAGAGAGAGACATACCTGAAAACTTTTTGAAGGAAGTGGAAAAAGCCAAAGAGGACAAGCGCGGTGGTAGGTACGGTAAAGCAGAGCAGTGGGTGGTAGTTGCGAGACGGGGTATCAAGACAGCAGTTGCCGCCATGGAAGTGGAAGCTGCCGCCGAATAAGCCGTCGCCATTTGGCCGCAGAAACAAGTCCTGTCTCTCGAGTCCGAGTTTTGTTGCGAAGGTTTTTGTGTTCCTCCTGTTCTGCTATCCACACCGATTTTCTCTTTCTTGATGACAGATACTGAATGAATAAGTGACACGTGGAGATGTTGAGCTTCTGATTGGCTCATTCCCTATCTTCAAAAATCCAGGTATGAGGTGTATGACCGTCTCTCTGCCTGCTCCCACTTTCTTGATGAGAGGACTAAGCTGTCAAGTCTGACCCGTTAAATCGAATTCGAACGGTTACAAAATTAATATAATTATTAAATACATATAATAAATAATTTAAATTAATATTTAATATTCAATACACATTAAATAATTTTTTTTGTGAATCTTAATATAAAAAAGACACGATATAAATAAAATGACATGTAAATCACACGAACACAACACGATTTATTATGCCCCTAGATTAAGATTCACTTCCCACTTAAAATATGATTTTTTTGATAATAATTTGTGCCTGAAAAATATTTTGTCGGATTGAATTTTTGAGTATAAATTGTGTAATATTTATATTTTAGATGATATATTTTAAATTATTAAAGTTAAAAGAGAGAAAATAAAATAATGGTATGACAAAAAGAAGAAAGAAATAGCTGTAAATTAGTGGATTGAGAGTGTGTTAGTTAGTAAGGATACCCTCGGTGTATTTTACGCTTTTAATTTTTCAGTGCCCACCATCTATCAGCACCTCTGTTATGCTGTCGTTGTCACCACCATCATCATCACTAACACCATCATCGCTATTACCATCGTCACCACTACCACCATCACTATTGTCACTATCAATATATTTTGCACTCTTAATTTTTTAATATTTATCACTGCTATTATTGTGCTACCATCACCAGTAAGGTAGTTGTTACGAGATGATTAAAAAGAATGGTAAAATTAGAATATTATATTACTTAAATTTTAGCATTTAATTTTCAGTATTCAATTTTTATTTTGTAATACATCACCTAATTCATTGTCATGACTAAATTAGTTATAAATTGTAAAAATAGAGTATACTTTTAATTTAACAACTATAAACTCCGAAATAAATATAAGGGTTAATTGTAAATTGCATCCCAAAAGATAATTCGAATTTCAATTTGTACCTTCAAAAATAAAAATTTGTATCAATGTGCACCCCCCAAAGATCAAAAATCTCAATTTGTACCCTCAAATATAGAAATTTATATCAATGTGCAATCACAAAGATCAAAACCTCAATTTGCACCCTCACATATAGAAATTTGTATCAATATCCACCTAAAACTAATCACCATCAGTTTACTACCTAAAACTAAATTGCTAAATTATATTTAGATCCCTTCGTACTTGTCACTTAATCATTTAGATCTTTCACATTTAGAATGTTACTCCTACATCTTATGACGTTTGTGCACGTGTAACACGTAACCCTTTTTCACTGATATCTGTTAATATAACCGTTAAAAAATATGATTTTATCCTAATAAAAAATTATAATTTCATATTACCATTTATTTTGTACGTTTGATATACTCTAAAATTCAAAATTAAGTTTATTATTTGAATGCCCAATAGAATGTAGATATTTATACAATATTTTTTATATTCAATGCAATATATCACTTAAACATAATTATTTGAATGACCAATTGAGGAGACATTTTTAGTCATATTTAGATTCTCAATGGATATAGGTGTAATATTTTAAATCTGAGGGTATAGGTGATTAAGTGACAAGCATGAATGAGTTTAGGAGTAATTTATTTATTTATTATGATAAAATCATATTTTTTAACGGTTATATTAACATATATCAACAAAAAGGGTTATATATTACATATGCACAAACATTATGAGATGTAAGAGTAATATTTTAAATGTGAAGGGTCCAAATAACTAAGTGACAAACACGAGGGGATCTAGGTATAATTTATCAATTTAGTTTTAGGTAGCAAACTGACAGCGGTTAATTTGAAGTGCACATTGATATAAATTTCTATTTTTAAGGGTATAAATTGAGATTTTTGATCTTTTGGGGTGTATATTGATATAAATTTCTATTTTTGAGGGTGTAAATTGAGATTTTTAATCTTTGAGGGTGCACATTGATATAAATTTTTATCTTTGAGGATACAAATTAAAATTCAAATAATCTTTCAAAATATAATTTACAATTACCTCTAAATATAAACAACATTGTTCTTTCAAACAACGACGTGGTGTACTCTTGTCACGGTCACTTGGAATATGAGCCGGCCCAACAAAGACCGAGTACCTAACTATTAAACTGCTTTTGAATTTGAACAAGGAAGTGGTTAAACAAAGACGCCAATTAACATGGGACATTAGGGGCATTATTATCTTGTTTGTTCGAGAAAATCTCCATTATGAAAACTTGATGCCCCAAATGAAGTTTGATTCTCACTTAAATAACATGGATTAATCGTAAAAGATATAGAGATCAGAGGAATATGTCTCTGGCAACGATACGGCTATAATATATGCGTAAATATTCTCAAAGATTGCGTCATTATTTCTAAAGTAAGGTGTGCATGAATATGATGAGCCTCTATAAAAGTGACACCTAATAATCAGCCACGAGACTGTCCAGTCTACCGGACTAAACTAACCCATTTCTTGGTGTGCCGCTCCGCCCTCCAACAGGTTGAAGACAACCTAAACCTCGTTGGAACCGTCTAATATCCAATCCTCTTTTCCTCTCTCTCTCTCTCTATATATATCTATATAATAAAGTAGAGTTGAGTTTGAATCCAGAGACAAAGAGAGATACAGATTATTTTGAAACAAAACATAAACACATCTAGCAGAATACGTAATCCCAACATAAAAGACGGTTCAGATTATCTCATAAATACTGATCTGACCATAATTATACTTAACTCTAACACTCCTATCTCTCATATAATTCTCTCTTTCTCTCTCTCATCTTTTAAAAGTTTTAAACATATTATCTCTTTTTTTTTTCTATATATATATATATATATATAAAATAAAATAGCTAGAATTATTTATTTTTAGCTTTTCGCAGCTCAGATCGCTTGACGATTATTGGTCTGACAGTTCTCATGCCAAATTTTTCTAAAACTCTTATTACTCATCTAACTCTCTTTATATCTATCTTTTGCTCTCTCTCTCATATTATTATCTTATTTTTTCTATTTTTCAAGTGTTATTTTTTTATTATTTACTCCATAAAACATATGAAATTACATGCTATGCAATTATTTATTCCATAAAATTAATTTAAAATTTTATATATCTAACAACATGTATTTTGCCACTTACTTTTTAATTTGTAAATAACGCTTAATGCTGCCACGATCCACTGAAATTCAGCCCTTTATCGCTTCGATTTGTAAAAAAAAAAGGTAAATAATACTTAATGTAAATAAAAAATAGTACACAATTTTCATGATTTGAGGATTTTTTTATCTGAATTTCACATCTTTGCTTGAAATTAGGTCTTAATTGATTCAGAGCCTAAATTCCTCTAAAATTCTTATTGATAATGATTTTTATATAAATTATTTTTTTAATTTTTTTAATATTTGCTCTATTTGTTATAACTTTGGTACTAAAATTTTTAATTTACTTTCACTTATTTTCACGTGAACAAGAGATTTTTCAGTTTGACAAGTGGATGTGAGTGATTCTTTTAAAAAAAAATGGAGGTGAATAATTAGTTTGGTTTAAGTATGTGTGGTCAAATCTTAACTAAAAAAAAATTTATAAAATGATATAGTAAGATAGAATACGCTATGCTATGAAAAAATTTGTATTTAAATTTTATGGGTTAAAATACAAAATTTTAAGTTTATATAAAACAAAAAAAATTATAATTTAAGGTCAATTTCATGTTGGTTTAATTAACAACAAATAATATTCAACAAGAAATGAACCTTAAATTGTAAATTAATATATATTTTTATCAAAAATTGATATTTAATTTTGTCCAATTTATATTCAACTTTGTTTAATTAATATCAAATTAATTTTTATTGTTATCAAATTAATATTAAAATTCATTTAATCAATTTTTTGGGGTACTAAATTATATCAATTTTTTGAGTACTAAATCAAATCTTATTTTATTTTATTAAATTTTTAATTTTTTTGGGTACTAAAGTTGGAGAAAGGCAATTATGAAAATAATATTTTTTTGGGGGGATAAAATCATCATTATCCGTTAGCAATATTGAAGGAAGGGAGACATGGGGTCTCTGTGTAATAAATTTTAAAATCTAGGGATCTCTATGTTATTTATAAAATATTAGGGGGTGTTCATATGATATTGTCAAAATTAAGGAGAAGTATGTATTTTTTACCCTATTTTTTATTTAGATATTAATTTATTATTATTTTATCATAAAAACTTGAATTATTATATTTATAATAAAAATAATTATTGGTTAGGAAGGTTTGTTGGTAACCAAAAACTAAATGTGTAAGAGTATATTTCTGTGTATATTTATATATGGGGGATTGAAAATTTGGTAATTAAATTTATAATTTTATTTTGTCATTTGGTGTTGAATGGTGATAGTTAGGGGTGACAATTTTTGACACAACACGATAACCTAATACGAAACAAGATATAAATAAATGGGTTTGGGTTGACTAATTTTTTGTGTCAACCCGTGTATGACACGACCCGTCAACACAAATTTTGAACTCGAAGGAGATTGACCTGACCTTTTCGTTGCATGTATGAGTTTTCATGTTTTGATGGCTTGTTTTTTCCATTTATTTTGATGTTTTTTGGTTGTGTGATATACAATTAACATATTTAATTAGTATTATATAAATAAAATATTAATTATTATAACTGTTTATCAAACATTGATATAATTATTGTATAAAAAAGATATTATTACTCATTATTATTATTATTGATGATGCACAAAATTAGTTTTCACAACATTTGTCAATTAAGTAATATAAAATGCAGTAAAGTAGAGGGAGAGAGAAGACAATGTTTATAGTGGTTCGGTCAATATGACCTACGTTCACTTTGAATGACAAGGGTCACCGGAATTTTATTATCTCCGGTGTAGAGGACCTTACAATTTTATTATGCTCAAATGAGTCTGATGCCCCTTAAGTGTTGGTGGACATTACAATT